TTTACGTGCGTAGCTCGGGCGAAGTGAGAGATTACGGCAAGCGGTCGCCGCCCTTCAATATCTCCAACGATGTGAGACAAGGGAGTCCGCTGTCACCTTTTTTTCCTCAACCACTTGACGAAGTCATGAAGATCGCGTTCACTGGATTCGACTTAGAAGGTGTGAAGTTGCTTCCATGGGAATGACTTTTTGTCTTGCAGTATGCTGATGACATTGCTCTTATCTGTGACAGCTCACAAACGGGCCTAACGGCACTAGGCAATTTAGCACTGGCTGTCAGCCGTTTCGGACTATTTTTTGCACCCTCGAAGTGAAAAGGGACTGCCTCGCGCTGATTCTTTGTAGGGATCAGCTAGAGGTCGATCCAAAATTCAACTACTCAGGCCAGCAACTTCATAACATGCATGACACTGGAGGATGATTAGCCCTACATCGCATTTATATATCATTCATGGCGTTCTGCTGCCGTCGCCCATGGTTCAGTGGCATAAGTCGCTGGCTCACAAAGTAAGGTTGTGGGTTCGAATCCCGTATGATTCGGCGGATTCACACTACTGACGAGTCTCAATAGGACGAAACGGACGTCTAGTGCCTCCCTGCATGTGCGGTGGCTGTCTGCCTGAGTCTAACTGCGTCGAATCTTCACAAAACTACCCGGACCCTTGTATCAGCGCCGTCGGAATTGAAGACGAGGTCACAAACGGTATGGCAGAAGCACCAGGTGCTTTCGCTAATCTTCGCCATCTATTGCGCTGGTGCGACATCACTCTCTCCTTGAACTGTAGAGCGTACAATGCAGCCATATGTCCGACTCTGCTTATCGTTTGTGAAACCTGGCCCATTAGATCAGTCGACATAAAAAGGATAGTTATGTTCGACCAACGGTGTCTTCGCAGTTTGGCTCATATCTGGTAAGAACACCGTGTGAGAATGAGTGGGCTTGACGCCTTGTTTATGGCACAGTAAGAAGAAATAACACGTTCAGCACCGTTATATCACCCATCAGGCTCTGATGGCTGGGTCACGAGTTGCGCATGCCTGCCCATCGACTCCCGCTACGCGCATCTTTTGCGCTCCGGGGGTGTGGATAGAAGAGGGGATGACCAAGACATAAAGGCCCTTACTTCAAAGGTGGCCACGATTGGAGCCCCTCGGCTGTCTGCTTGGGGTCCGAGAGACGGTGAACACGTTTGGCTGGATGCAATTGTTGACATGGTAATGGAGTCGACCTCAGTGGCGTTTGTGTTGTTGATTTCTTTGTTCCTTCGCCTCCAGCCATTACCTCATTTACTAAGCATAATGTGACTTTTTTGCGACACGATAGCCGACTGTTAACTCTTCGGAGCGATGTCCATCTGTTACTGTTGGCTCAGCCGGCATGCCTCTGTTGCATGTTATTTTTTCCTTTTTTATGTCGTCACAATAGCTGAGGTGTTTACCACTTCTAGCTAATGTGTGTAATGATAATGACAATGATGGGAGGACTCCCTCAAGCGAACCTCCATGTACCACCTGCTTTGTGGGTTAGACTGTTGAGTCAAAGTCTAAAGGCAAGGCACCTCGAACAAAACTCCTCCCAGGATGAGCAGCCGGTAATTATCATCATCCGTCGACAATACTTCCACTTCTTTTTTTTCTCCCTTCCCAACCCTGTTCTTCCCTGTCTGTTGAGCAAGAGATGTCCACTGACCTCGCAGCTGCTGCAATCGACACATGTAGTTCTTCCATCAAACCTCTAGTTTCATTTCACATCGGTTCTTTTTAAGTCTGGGTCAAATCGGGCAGCAGGCAGCACTGACTCCCACTATTCACTCTCTTGGTATTTATGTGTGCTGCGTCACTGAAACACGCATACAAGATAGCAGAGTCGTGACGAATCTCCGACTCCATGGTTCTGAATCTGACGGCAGTGACTACACTGCACATATCTGGCGATACCGAGTCAATAGCTCAAGGTATTCTCGATATTGGTATCACTCTCAGCAAATATGCTGAAAGCATTCTGTTTGATTGGATACCGGTGAACAACCTCATATGTGCGGTTCGACTTCGAACCTCTATCGGAGTTAAGCGTCGTCTGAAGACAAGGTGTTTATGCATCGCCTCAGTCTGTGCCTCCGCTGAATGCAGTACATGGACAGCTCTCATCTCTTCTTCGCATGGCGACATCGTGACAGTTGCTGGTGACATGAATGCCCAAATGGGTTGTCTTTCGGACTCTGAACAGCACCTAGGAGGCCATTTCTGAGTCGATGCACACCGAACAGACAATGATGTTCGATTCCTGGCAACTGTGCGCTGACTGCAACCTTTACCTTAGCATCACTGCCTTCCACCACAAACGTTCACACCGCTTCAACTGGCGCCCACAGAATTCCTCATTGACTTGAACCCAAACAGAACATATTGCTATCAGCTACAGATGGCGCACACCGGTTCATGACTGTTGGTCAATTTGGAGCACGTGCCTGGATTTCGACCATGCTCTGTTGTGCGCCTGCTTTGCGCTTACTCATCCCTATTTAAATAAGTACCTATCTTTTAACCTTCCCTGTAACTTGAACTGGCAGGCTGCAGTTCAACAATATCATGACCAACTGGCTCCCCGATTGTCGGTGATGAATGAGGTTGATAAACCGAACGCTAACTGCTATCGTCTCAATTGTGCCATGATTAATGCCATTGATGCATGCTCTGCACCCAGCTTGAGACGCCACAACTTCGAATGGATCTCTGACACATCGATCAGCCTGATCCAAGCACAGAATCAGGTTCCGATGGGCACTGAGTTTCAGTGTCCGTAACTCTCTGAAACGACGTCTGTCAGGGAGTCTTCGAATTGACCGGGGTCGTTGGTAGGTGGTAAGGGTCCGTGTGATGGAGAAAGCCAGTGCTGTTGGGAACAGTCAAGTGCTGTTCCAACTGACCCGGAACGCAGGTCCGACAAAACCTTCAGTTAGCAAGACAATAGCCGAGAAAGATGGACACTTGATCCATTCTCAGCTTTGTCTACTAGCCCGTTGGGCTGAACATTTTGAAGAGCAGTTCAGCAGGCCTACTGCGACACTAACGCTTGCCAAATCGCCTGAGCCGACGTGGGTAGTAGATGTCACACTTCCCAATTTAGAAGAGATTCGACATGAGCTTTCCGGGTGAAACGAAACAAGGCTTCTGGACCCGACCACCTTCTTCCATCTTTGCTAAAAGATGGTGGTGACTATTTGTTGACTGGACTTTCTTCTCTATTTAACACGATGTGGTACACTGAAGAGGTGCTTTCAGACAGTTGACTGTCAACTGTCTTGCCCACCTTTAGGAAGGGCCAGTGCACTTTGTGCCAGAATCCTAGAGCAATTAGTCTTTTCTCCGTTGCATCCAGACTTCTCACGGGTATTATTCCCCGATAACGTATTGCTATTCTCGAGAACTGAATCACTGAAAGTCAAGCTGGTTTCCGCCCTGGTCCTGGTTTATCGACTACATATTTACTCTTCGGCAAGTTTTAGAGCAGAGGCCCACATGCAGACGACCTACTATGGTGGCTTCCCTTGACATGAAAGCCGCCTTCAACTCTTTGGACCGCGCTAGCTTCTGACACTGCCTATCCATAAAGGGTATGCCGGCTAAATTCCTTTTCATTATGCACTCTGTATACTGTGACTCCGGAGGCCGTGTAAGTGTCTACGGGAAACTGTCTCCTTAATTTCGCACGACATGCGCGATTCGCAATGGTTGTCTTACGTCTCCTTTCCTTTTCAACTTTGTGATCGACATGATTATGAATGACTCAGTTCTTTCAGACTCTACTGGAGTGGAAGTTCTGTCAGACGATAGGCTGAAAAACCTGGGGATGCGGATGAGGTAGCTCTCCTTGGGTCTGACTCATTAGCGATGCAAATGCTGCTAGATAGACTGACGCGTAGCACTACACTCTTCGGCACGTGCTTTACACCTTCAAACTACAGGGTATTGTTGCAGGACTAGACCGACACACCTCCGGTTCTATCTATCACCGAACAGCCACTGAAAGTGGTGGCTCGGTTCAATTACCTCAGTAGCTTCGTCACCTCTGATGGTCACATCACTGAAGTACTTACTTCGCATATCAGCAACGCCTGTGTGGCTTTCCAGAAGCTCAATCATCTATGGAGACGGCGGGATATAAGCCTGTCAGTGAAAGGTACCGGGTTATTATGCTTCGATAAAGTCTGTCTTTCCGTATGGGTCAGAGATCTGACCAGTTCTCAGTGAAGAGTTTAAACGTTTGGTCTTGTTTGACCACCGGTGCTTGCGAAGTGTTACTCACGTCTGGTGCGAACACCGGGTGAACAATGTTGAGGTCCGCTAGTTTTTGTTTTGACAAAAAGACTTCTGGTGTCTGTCGAGTGTTTACTGGATCTTAATCACTTATGTGTCCTCCGCATGCCCGTTGACCGACTTCCTCTGCTTGTATACTACGCCGGGGCTGCACCACATTGCGCGAAACCACAAAGTTATGACAAGTCCGTGTCGTGACATAGTGGCATGAAGCAACTGACCGAGAGACTTGCTCAGGCTGTTGCATGCCGTCTTCGTGAATGAGGTCCTAGGTCGGTCCACATCAGTGGTTGGAGACTATCGAATGTGAGGCGGTCTGAAAGTCAGTGGCGTTATTGCGTCTGTTATTTTCATTTCCATCTTTACTAGCTTAACACACTTCGTTCCCGATCCCCGTTTATTTGCATCCAATCTCACTTTCTTGCCGATGTGATCTATTGTTATTCTGGTGATGTGACAAACTGGATCCACCGCACTTTGTTGCTTGGATTATATTTATTTAACTGAATTGAACTGATCTGACTTTTTACTAGCGGTGTGGCTACGATCCAGCAACAACATCAGTGTTGTCAATCGAGTAACCTTTTCTGTCGCTCTTTTCAATTTTCCTTTGGACACTGTTTCTGTGTGATATTTTCCTACGGTAGCAGTAATCACATCCCTCTAACACATCTCGCCCTCAGAAATCAGGTCACACCGGACAACCAGGTGGAGTTGTCTCTTATTCTGACTCACTTGGATTCCATCCGAAGAACGTGTAGAAACATATCACGTAAGCTTTCCTTTTAATTTGTTTCACATTATTAACATTGTCTTCAGCCTAGCCAGTATTCACCTTGTCCACCACTGTTGTCGCTAGGAGGTGGGTTTCAAGAGAAACTCATTTTCTCACGATTCACCCCTCCCCTTGAGTTTTTGCTTGTTTCGTTTGCAACTCCCCCATTCTAGATGGAAATTCATCAGGGTCTAAAAAGCGTGCGGCCAAGTACGGTGAGTGTGTGTGACGCACCGCTTGCCGTGTCATTGTCCGAATAATTTCCACTTTCCTCATCGCTGACATTGCAAGGCTCGCGTTTCGGCCATCGCCTTTTCTTCCAACCACTTCAACCTGTCCTTCTATTCGCTTTAGCTAATGATCATTTGGTTTGTGGCTCATGTTCGCATTGCACTATACTGATTGCTCCTCGCAACCTCCACCTTATTTTCGAACAACAATCACCTCATCTAGATTTTGTCTAGTGTCTTCTAATTTTTATTTTCCAAGCATATATGCGTGGTTGAAGGTTGTTTTATTTTACACCTGTGTTATTTTATTTCCATTCCACTCCTTATTGTCACTTGCTATGTCGATTTTGGAGTGCCTGATTTGTATACTACGATTAACATCCTGTGAATTCCTGGTCACGTCGTCTGTTTTACTCTGTAATTGAGTCTCATGATGTGTCACCGTGTGTTTCACTTTCAAGTTCTTCAGGATGAGGATGTTCAGCTCGCTTTACAAGAAGTGGTGCGGTCTAGCAAGGTCCCACTTTCTGTCAAAGACCACTTCTCCGATTTACTAGCTTTGGCCGAGGATCAGTCCGTCACCTCCCCCGCAAACCGGTATGGTGTATCTCAAAATGGTCGATCCATTTCCGATCCATTACATCGTTTGGGCGGAACAACCACTGATGGCGCTGAGAATTCTTCCTTGCTCTCCCGTCCGGCCAGTCTTGGCAGCAAGGGCGGTCATAGCTTACGAAATTTGGACTCGCGTCGTGCAGCCGAAGTAAGACAATCCAGCTACCAGAAGGTGATACCTAATCAGAATTATTTGTTCATTCTTGCGCTTTGTTTTGACGGTTTCGATAAACTGGTTGCTGTGGCTCTGGCACTCACCTTTTTGTGCGAAAGTGGTTGTTAAGTGCATAAATCAAAATGACCAGATATATTGTTTGACTCATACTCAAGCTATGCTTAATGGTGTACTAACAGCCTATGCGCTTTTAATCCGCTTTTCACTTTGTCCAGGCTGAACGCCGACAGCTTCCAACCTCAGCTGGGTCTCACTCGAACAAGCGGAGCTCGCGCACCTCTGGGCATCAAAACGATGCTCTCGATTCAGATCTCACGGATGAGACGGAAGCCGTTTCCATACTCAGCTCCTCTTCCGATTCATCGGAGGACGACGACGATGATGGAGATGAAAAGCGGCAAGCGAACTCGATGAGGTTAATAAAAAGAAAGAAACACTCCTCAGCCAACTCCTGCAACTCAAGTGGAACCACTCGCCCTGCGCTTGGAAAGCAAAGTGACACTGCCGCCGAATCATCGTACAAAGATCGCCGCCCGAGTTGTAAACGCGTTTTACAGCGTTTCACTGGTGCAGCCGAAAACGATGACGAGGAGGATGATGACGATGACGATAAGGGGCTGGAGGTGGTTGTCCTCGATGAGGAGAGCGGAGACGAGAAGACCAACGAGGATGCAGATCGCGTGCGGCCTCCAAAACGCCGGAAAACGGCAGTTAACCGATTTCTTTTGGACGATTAGTTTCCACTGTATAAATACAACTTCAGCTACTCTTGTAAAGCATGCAGAATACTCACCTGTACATCACTGTAAGTTTGTCCCCTCCCCCACTTTTCAGACACGCTTTGTGCCACCCGGTTGTGTGAGCGAATATTTACCTTTTTTCTCTTAGCCTGTATATACCAATTTACTAGAACTACGGGCCTTTTTTCATGCTTCATTTTAGCATGAAGATGATATGGTTTACCCGGAAACTAGCGAGATCGATTCCATCACATACATTCGTTTCCAGACACGCTTACATGCAATTAACATTCTTGAGCATTGATACACTGTTGACAGCGGTCTTGCCAGTTCCGATGGAATTTGTGCGTTGCGATGCAGTAAGCGTGAATTTCAGTTGTTGTGTGTGTGACTCGATTACCGTTGGTTGAATTTCCCAGCGCTGCATTGCAGTGGCAATAAATATTAAGGATGTCGAAATAAATAAACTAGTTGGCTGAGAAAAACAAAGTTCACCGGATAAAAGAATCAGTAGCTGAAACTAAGTGCTTCATTGCTGACTACCCGGCCGCATCTTGTTGGACCTGATTTCAAGCAGCTTGTGTATGCTCGAGTGGTTCCCATCCGGGAGGATGCAACATAGTGGGACAACGTTCCAATCAGTTTCTTTGAGTTCCTTCCCTACTCGGTTTCGCACGTTGTATAGCAGAGCATCTGCGGTGCAAATAGTTACCTGACTGACCTAAGCAATACGATGGTGTGCAACTATTATCCACATGTCATGCAAGCGGAGACGGCCTACATGACGATCTTAATTAAATTGAAACCCACTTTCAGCCTAACTACGCTTGTCTTTTACGTCACTACGTGCATTACGGCAGAGTTCCCCTCTACTATATATTCACTGCACTAGGCCCTTGCTACCCGAATGATGCCTCAGGGCAAGTTTCTCGAATTCACCGCAATGTCGATTTCGTACTCGGTCTGTTACTTGAGCATTCCTTTCGTGCTACTTCATTTGAAGTGCAAATTACTACGATTGTAAAATCACCGCGGTCGCGAGGGGCGGAAGGCTAAGTGTGCATATGGTGCTGATTAAGGATACTCATAATTTCCGATGATATTCTTCCGTTCTTGTTGTGCGAAAGTGGTGTTGCAATTAGAGAAACCTCTTCTACTAAAAATAACTCCCCAGGTTTTTGGATCCCGGTGTAACTGCTATTTACTGGTGGTCTTCTTCTGAGTTATTGCTCCTGAGAAAGCTCTTGCCAATGGACTTGTAGATTAGGCTGTTCGCACAGTACTGCATCTGTGCGAGCACTAGTTGTCGCATGTTACGCGTTGTCGCGTCACATAGATGGTTTACTAATTGTGGTCTCAGACAAGCGAAGAACTGCCCCCAACTGTCAGTTGGTCCATGCGCCCAGACAAGTCCCTTGCCTTTGGTGGCAGGAAATGTTTAAAAACTTGCGGCGCATCTCGAGTTGGTTCATGTGAATCTCCCAAGTACGAACGAACTATAGACACCACGAGATACTAGCCCATCGATTTAAGAAGGCGCATAACCCTGCAGTGCATCAAACGTTGATCTACTGAACAAAGACATGGTCACAAAGAGCCAAGCGAAATAAGAGAATGAGGGTGATGAGCGGGTACTGAGTATAAAATTCTGTTCGCTACTTTAATTTATGCCAATAGAAAGTTAGTAATTCCCGATCGCTTGTGCCTGCTAGATATTGCTCATTTCAAAATGTCGAGAAGCAATTGTCATTCACTTCAAAGAAAAGCGTACAAAGGCGAGCCTGGCCGTATATTTAGCATGTTTGCAGAAACTGGGCTTCAGTTGCCGAACAGTTAAAGCATCGGCAAACTGAAGCAAACGAGCATTGCTCTGTCTGTTAATTACGTTGAACGATTCACAGACTTTGGCACTTAGTGCAGTGTAGGGCATGCTGCGTGATAGAGCTGCCCGGCAGTTTGTGACCCGTTTGCGACCGTTTTTCGTGGAATGTGCCGTGAAATCCTGGTGGATAGCCTCTCAATTCGGCGATTGTACTTCCTACGACAAGTACAGTGAAAGAGGCAAACAGGATGCGGTAACGTGCGAGGGTATGGTCACCCTTCCAAACTGCCAGTTAGCTCTACTGTGCAGCAAATCCTACATTGCGCTACGTGCTAAAGTCTTTTTGAATCGTTCAACGCAATAATAATAGTAATACGTATAGTTCTCTTGATGCGAGAACTTGTCCGTAGCGGCACAGATCAATTTATACAAAATTACCCATGGTTGCCAGCCCGTATTCTGACGGCGCGGGTTCGAGCCTTGCGTAGGGGTATGGCGGCCCTCGCATTATCCTTAGCCCACGTGGGACGCGTGGTATTTGCGCGGCAGCGAAGCATCGGTACTGCGTAACGGCGTACTGCTGATGCCCCCTCCATGCTGTTGCATGGGCGATGTGCATAGGTGGAAGATTGGAGTATGCAATTCATGTAATTGCGTTCTGCTGGACGGTTAGCGCGAAAGCCGGATTTCGGAAACATGGGTGTTTAGATGTTTTTGGTCTCCTCGAGGGACTCTTCCCATGTGAATCTAGTGATTATGGCATAGTTTTCAAGTTGATTAGAGTGTCTGCTTATAAATGTTGCAACATTGTCACACGACCTGGGTGTGATTGGTAGTCTATTCCACAGATAGCTATATCTGACCATGAGGAAATTAAAGCGAACGTTCGTTCTAGCCTTCGGTTTATTCAGTGCAAATCTTTATTGCGAAGCTCTCGAGTTGAGCCCTGTTTTATTTCGTGTGTGGACAGATGGGAGTAGGTCTACGACAATTTTGTCATTTTCTCATATTACCTTATCCTACAGTACTAGGGAAGAAGGCGGGTGAGTAGCTTAAAATACCCAACTCTAACACGCGGATTTTGTTGGTTATATTAAACAGATTGTCTGACACGTGCTACTTGGGATTTGGCTTGGTTGGAAAAATTGAAAGTACCTGAGTACCCCGTTCCGAGATCACGCGTGGGCAGCTGTGTAGGGACGTGTTCATTGTTTAGTACAATAGATCCTGCGGAAATGGACAAGAGAT